TGAATCGTAATGTAAATATCTGATATGCAGGATGGTCTTAGGCGACCCCTGTGAAAGGGTCGTTCGACCGCCAAAGGGATCGCGACCCACAGGTTGAGAACCGCTGGTCTGGAGGCTGGGCCATGTCTTACTCTCACTGCATCCTTGGTGGCCAGCACAGGGCTGGGCATCAAGGAGGCCTCGGAGGCAAGACTGAAGAACTGAAGTTTCTTAACAGGCACAACGTTTAGGTGCAAGGCATTCATTCATTCACTTCCTGTTTGTTCATCTATTCATTTGTTCCTTTATTCATATGCCCCTTCAATAAATATTGATTGAGCACTCACTATGTAGCAGGCACTACTCGAGGTGATAGGGGTCCGGTGGGAAGAGATGGGGAGTGTCAGGGGAGATTGGAACGTTAGACAGGTTAGGAAAGGCCTCCCTAGAAGGCAACATCAGAGGAAAGTGATGGAGGAGAGAGAGGAAGGATAAACCATTCCACTACCTGGGGGAAGAATGCTCTAGGCAGGAGCAGCAGCCTGTGCAAAGGCCCTGAGGCAGGGGTGTGCCTGGCAAATTTGAGGATCAGCAAGGAGGCCATCGTGGCTGGAGTGGAGAGACCCAGCGGGAAGATATAGACGGAGTCAGGGAGGTGATGGGGGTCATATTGCACAGGGCTTTGTAGGCCACGGTGAGAACACAGGTTCTGACTCCGAGTGAATTAGGAATCAGAGGAGTGTTCTGAACGGAGACAACATAACCTCAGGTTATAACAGGACCCTCTGGCCACTGTGTGGATAAGGGAAGAAAGAGGGAGACGCGGGCAGAGGCTACTGCAATGATCGGGTGGGAGACGATGGTGCTGGGCCGCGCAGGTGATGCGAAGTGGTCGGGTTCTAGGGGTCCTGGGAAGCTGGAGCCACAGGCCATGTGGGGGTGTGAGGGAGAGAGAAATTGAGGCTCTGGCCGGAGCACCTGGGCGGTGGGGTTCCATCCACTGAGCTGGGGATGCACTGGGGACGTGGCGCCTGCCTGTGGGGCTACAGCGTGCGGCCGTCCACCCACCAATCACACGCAGGAAGAATTCTCAGTGACTGGGTGCCCTGCAGGAGGCCAGTGCCGCGGGGGCTGGTAACAGGGGGAGCGTGTCGCGACAGGGGGCGCAGGTGTGTGAAGCCCTCGCGGTGGGAGGGAAGTCGAGGACACGGGAGCTGAGAGGAAGGAGGTAGGGGTGAGGGTGGAGGGCCAGTCCTGGGTCCACCTGAGCAATTCAGGCTTTATCCTTCGGGAAAAGATGAAAGGGTTTTGAGCAGGTGTGTGCATGCGTGTGTGTCTGTGTGTGCATGCACGTGTGTGTTGGATGTGATCAGAGCTGTGTTTTGACAACATCCCTGCGGCTTCAGTGCGGAGAACGGATTGGACAGAGGCCCTGGCGCCCCTTGAGGGGCTGTGCCCTCGCCCTGCTGGGCCTGGATGGTGGGAGGGACAGGGCTTTGAGGGGATGGGAGAGACAGGACTGGATGGGCTGGGAGGTGAGAGAGGAGGCGGCATCGCAGGTGCTGCTCAGCCCATATCCGCAGGGACACGGTCTTCCCAGGAATAAGGGCCAGAGAAAGATCCCACTCGGGTTGCAGACGCTCGGGCCCCCTCGTCCACAGGCTCTCGGGAGGGGGCGGCGACAGCCTGCAGCGTCCTGCCTCTCATGTTCTGAAAAGCCTTCTTTTCTTTTCTAAGGTGAGACATGCCGTAGCTTCATTGACCTGGCCCCAGCGTCGGAGAAAGGTAAGAGTGGGCCCGCTCCCTGCTCCACGTGTGGGCCTCCCCTCCAGACACGGCCCTGCCCGGGGGTGCCCAGCCCCGTGAGAGCGCTCCTTCAGCACGCCTGGCCGGGGGCCCAGCGGACCCCTGCAGGGCTCGGAGCTTCTCCCAAAATCTCTCCCGAAATCGCAATCGGTGAAGCTGGAGAGGAAGACGGTCCTGCCCTCCCTGCCCCGTGGGCGGTGCTGAGAGGCACCACACTCCCGTCGTTCCAGGGCACGCTGGGACTGTGTCCGCGTGTGAGCATGCATGTGTGTGTGCACGTGTGAGTGTGTGTGGATGTGTGTACACCGTGTCCATGTACGGTGACAGGTGGCTTGCTGTGCCTCCTTCTGGAAACACCAGACCTCTATTCCTGCTTCTGTTATGAGGCCCCCGGCCTGGAGGGGTTGCGTCTTTGTGTTTTACTGGCTTCATAATTTCACTTCCAGGGCTTGGCGGCCACGCCGAGGACCTTCTGGCCGTGTCTATAAAATGCTTACCAGGAGGCTGAGTGGGCTGGCCCTGCAGCCAAGTTGCTGAAAGCTGGGCCTGGACTCGCTGCCTCTCAAGCACTGAGCTCTCCCTGGGGGTCCGTGGGGTGGCCTCTCCCCGGCCTCCCGCTCTGGCCCTCCCAGAGGCTCCTGCGGGAGCGGGGCCCTCGCTGTGCCCTCGCCACACTGTCCGCTCACAGGGCAGAGATGAGCGGCTTGTTCAGGGCCACAGGGAGTCGGGGCCAGTGCTGGAGCCCGGGCGTGCTCTCCCGCGAAGAGCATCCTTCTCCCAGGCTCTCACCCCGCACCTGCTCGCTCTGTGACTTCCTCCTGGTCTGCAAAGTATGGGTGTGATCATGACACAAACACTGCCTGGCTCCATGCCATGCTGACCACGTGCCGGGGACCATTCTGAGAACTCCACCCACATTGGCTCATTTAACCCCCATTTTACAGATGAGGAAACTGAGGCACAGAGCGTATGATACCGCCTGGGTGTGACCACAGGCCTCAAGGATGGTTGGCAGCTGGTTGTGCTGGGACTGGCCCAGCGAGGCTTTTGGGTGCACGTGTGTTTGAGACGCGCTAAGAGCATATGCTGTTTCCTCTGCCTGAACTGCTAGTCAAGGTCTCCCCTGGCCATTGTCACCCCAAAGTGACCACAGCGTCTGGGTGAGGTAGCAAACCTTCATTCCCTCGCCAGGCCCCAGGGGAGCACCTCTGTGCGCAGCCAGTGTACACTCCTGAGCACCAACTACGTGACCAGCTCTGGGCTGGGCGTCCGGGAGCAAGGGCGAACGAGGCGAAAGCCCGCCCTGCCGGAGTGGGGATGGCTAAGCACGGGGTCCACTACGGTGGAAGGGCTGCAGCCGCAAATCAAGATGCCCCTTTGCTGGACTGGGCTGCACCTCAGATCCCTGCTCAGAGCCCATGAAGACGTTTGGGTTTCCTCCCGTTATAGTAACCAGATTCCCCAGTAACGCTTTGTCAAGGTGTGAAGTTCCTGGTTCCTAAGCCCCAGGTGGAAGCGTATCCTCACAGGCAGATGGACTCTCACTGGGAGTGAATGAAGAATGAATGAATGAATGAAGAAGGAATGAATGAACGAGTGAGTGAATGAATGAATGGATGAATGAATGAGTGAGTGAGTGAATGAATGGATGGACGAACGAATGAATGAACTGAGTTCCCATGATTCAGATTTGCTGCCAGGCTGCACTGCAGCATCCTCATTGCATTTCCTCAACGCCCGTCAACACGGTGGAGACCGAGGAGCACCGAGAATGAACCGTGTACCACCGCCCCCAGCAGCACAGATGTTGAGCAAAAGAAGCCAGGTTCAGAGGACTACACACTATATGCTCCCATTTCTGTAAAGCTGGGAGCAGGCAGAACGAATCTCTGCTGTTAGAAATCAGGACAGTGGCTGCCTGGAAGAGTGGGCGTGACTGAAGGCGGCGTGTGGAGGGCTCTGGCAGCGGGCAACGCTCGGTTCCCTAATCCGGGTGCTGGTTACACGGCTGTGCTCAGTTCGTGCCAGCTCCTCAGGCTGCGCACCTGCCGTGCACGCACTTTTCTGTACACATGGGATATGGGATACGTCAGTAAAAAGTAAAGCAAAACTTTCCCACCCCGAGTTCTTGTTATCTTTCGGAAATGAAAATCCTTTCATGGCTCCCAGCCTCACCCAGGACATTTTAATGTGGCGGTCATGGCCCTCCGTGACCCAGGGCTTGTCACTCCACCTTTCACCATCCATGACGTAGACCTTGTGCTCCAGATCTGCCTCCCCACTTGCATGCAAACCCCCCAAACTCTCCATCGTCTCTCAGCCCCTGCGCCTTTGCACATGCTGTTTCCTCTGCCTGAACTGCCGTCACCACCTGTTTGTCTTGCAAACTTCTGTTGATCCTTCAAAACCCAGCTTAGACATGACCTCTTCTGAAACGCCACCCCGAACCCCAGAGGTACCCACTGTGACTGGTCCTGTTAGCACCCGTCACGCTGCATTGAGGGCATCCCCGCCAGCAGACTGGACGCTCCCTGAGGACAGGCACTGGCTCTTGTCCTTCCTGTGGCTCCCGTGCCCCAGATGGGTTGGCACACAGCAAGAATTTAGTGAAGGTTTGTTGAATGAATGAATGAAGAAGGAACAGGGCCATGTTACACACACGAGTTAGCTCATTTGGGTTCAAAAACCTGGACCCTGATTCTAAAGCCCCCGTCTGCTCCAACCCACCTGGGCTGAGCTGTGTGCTAAGCCATCCCTGCTCCCCGCCCGCTGCCCAGCGCGCTGGGATTTCTGGCAGCCACCAGCTGGCAATTTTTGCGGAACAATCTCTGAGGCTTGTAGGTTTCATTTGTTTGATGTTGCATTGCCGTGTAACAATGTGGCGGCTCCTGGCCACAATCCGGAGTCTTGCCTGAGTCATTTCTCACTTCAGTTTCTATAACGGTCTCTTGTTGGGTCCCTCAACCTCTCTATTCTCCGTCTGAAATCTATTTACAGTTCTGCTGCTCACTTAATTTATTTAGTGCATTTTATTGATTTATGCCATAGAACTGAAACGTGCATAGATCAGAACATGCTGAGCAGGGAAGGGGGATGGCAACAGCTTCCAGAGCCGCCCAGACTCTGATGTGGGAGCTACGAGGGGGCCAGCCTGCTGGCTGCAGCCCACACACTCGGGGGCCAGGGCGCCCTGTGCCTGCGCGTCCATCCCGGGCGATCTTTCACCCCTGGCTGCCTGGGGAACTCTATCAACTTGCACGAGCCAACCCACAGGCCCTGGCTCCTCGAAGCGCCCCCTCGCCTGCAGGCTGAATCGGTTACTCCCGCTCTGTGCTCCCAGGTCACCGAGTAGCTGCCTGTGGTCCAGGCCTGGCAGCAGGGGAGCGCTGCCTCTTTCATCCAGTGAGACAGACAGTGCAGGGCACAGAGCGGTTCCCAGGTCCCTGTTCCCGCTCACCTGCCATTCCCAGCCAAGATGGAGGTCGCTCTTGCAGCCGCTGGCTGAGGGGGACCGTCCATCGCCTGAATGGCCCTGGCCCATCTGCGGAGGCGGCCAAGCTCGGGTCCTCCCGCAGAAGATCATTTCCTGGTCATTATCCGTAAACTCACCACAGGCTGCCCCAGCTGTGCCGATCAGTCCTGGGAGCAGGCAGACAGCCGCCTTGCCTTCAGGAACCGGCTGCAGTGACCTCCGGTCACCTTGCTTCAGGCCAGCGGTCAGCAGCTCCTGCCGGGCGTGTGCCAGGGGCCAGGACCGGAGGAGAGTCACCTACAGCTTCTGCTCTTGAGGAGCCCCCTTCTGGGGGACAGACAGGAGGGGGAGTGCCACCTCCGTGAGTCGGGCCCGGCGGGGGGACAGAGGGCTGTGCGGAGGGGGCCACGTGGGGAAGGTCCTGAAGGAGGAGTGATATTCCGTCTCGTCTCGTGGGCGAGGGGCTCCCGGGGAGGTCATTCCTGGGGAATGAGTGGCACGTGCAAAAGAGTGAGACCCGGCGCCCTCAGTGCCGGGCCCCAGGCAGATGTGCCTTGGACATTTGCTGAGTGACTGAAGAGTGGAAGGAAAGTAGGGCCCAGAGAGGTTAAGTGCCTTGCTCAAGGTCACACAGCAAGTGTACATTAGAGTCAGGCTCCAGGCTCCTGAAGTCTTTTAAGCAGCACCCACCCGCCCTGCTAACGCCACCCATCCTTTCTCACCCACCACGTCCTTCCCACCTTCCCTCTGGCCTCCGTTTCTCAGCACCACACTCGGCCCTCCCCACCTCCCCCTCCCCCCCTCCTTTTGAAGTGCTGGTTCCGCCACTTTCCGTGCTGACATTCTGGATCCCTCTAATTACGTGCTCTTATGAGAGGTGATTGAACCCCTCTGCCTGGCGGAGGGCTGCCCTGGAGATCACAACAGCTGATAATTGCTCTAGTTGCTCTAATTCCAATTATTCAAGATTATCTTTCCAAGTAATTAGGTGTCTGGGCCGTCTCACCTCCGCACGCTCAGAGGGTGTCCCATCAGCCCCTGGTGGCGACCAGCCTGCGTGCTTCCTAATTGGAAACGGTTTCTCCGTGTGAGGAGCCTGCTCCGTGTAAACAGTGGTAATTTAAATTTCCAGATGACTCTGTGTCTTATCTGACTCCTGGTGAGAAATTACCTCGGGCACTCGAATCCAGCCCTCGTCCCCGTCTGAGCGGAGGCTGCAGCCGCGTGGCGGGTGGGACTGGCTGAGCTGCCCCGGGTCTGAGGAACTTGAAGGATGGTTCCTTTTCACGTCCCAGGAAAGCCTTTCCCTGGGCTGATTCCTCCTGGATTTCTCCCTGGATTGGGATTCACAGCAAATCCGTTTGGCCAAGGCCCTGCATTCCCTAACAGCCATCACTTTAGACACATGGTGATTCTTTCAAGTGTAGTTAGACACACAGTGCAAACCAGGGCCACCGCGTACAGGGCGCAGGCCACCGGCTGAGCGACTCCGGGCTCACCGTTCCCG